CTGTGAGCTGTGATGCCTTGGCACTCTACCCAGGGGGACAGCTTGAGGCTCTGCCTCAAAAAGAAAAAATATGGAATGCTTCATGAATTTGCTTGTCATCCTTGCGCAGGGGCCATGCTGATCTTCTCTGTAGTGTTCCAATTTCAGTGTATGTGCTGCTAAAGTGAGCACTGAATAGGTGGTTTTTTGTTTTTGTTTGAGACAGGGTCTCAAGCTATCGCCCTGGGTAAAGTACTGTGGCGGCACAGCTCACAGCAACCTCCAACTCCTGGGCTCAAGCTATTCTCTTGCCTCAGCCTCCCAAGTAGCTGGGACTACAGGCACTTGCCACAATGCCCAGCTATTTTTTTTTTTTGCAGCCATCATTGTTGTTTGGTGGGCCCAGGCTGGATTCGAACCTGCCAGCTCAGGTGTAAGTGGCTGGTGCCTTAGCAGCTTGAGCCACAGACGCTGAGCCTGAATTGGTGTTTTTTAATCAGTTTATTGTACTATCATAAAACACATTAGGATTTATTTTATTTTATACTCATTGTTCCACGCCTACAGTCCCAACTACAGGAGCCACTGACGTTTTCCTGTTCTTCTTTTAGAAGAAGCAGTCCAGAACTATGTCCTGCGTGTAGGTTTAGCACATGGTAGATGGGTAAGGGTGTCTTGAAGTGAAGAACAGCTCTGATTGCTCCTGTTACATGATTGCTGAAAGGGAAAGTCAGTTTGCTCGGCTGGACTGAAACTCAGGGGCTGGCTCTCCACTGATCTCTGACAGCCTGCCTCTCACACTGTCTACTCCTTGGCTTCTGGGCACTTTCACCTTGACTGGACGAGGATGAACGTTCTGTCCCCTGATCAGGTTTCTGTGGGGTTGAGACAAGTGCAGAGCTGCTGCTCCTCCAGTGCTAATGAGTGCATCTCACTAACTTAGGTGTTTTACTAAACAAATCTTGAATGCTCTGATTTTATCTTCTTAGCAGTGTCTCAGCTGGTCTGCCTCATGGCTTTATGTGGTAGTCTTTGTCAATGTAAGTGCACATTAACAAAACACTAAGATGACCAAATATTGATGGTGACTTTATTTACCTTACCTGACTACTTTAAGACAGTCTTTATTTATCACCCAGGCTAAAAGGCCATGGCCTCAGCTTAGCTCACAGCAACCTCACACTCCTGGGCTCACGCCATCTTGCCATAGCCTCCAGAGTAGCTGGTAGTACAGGCACTCACCACCACGCCCAGCTAATTTTTCTATTTTTAGTAGAGACTAGGGCCTCAATTTGTTCGGGCTTGTCTCTACCTCCTGGCCTCAAGCCATCCTCCGACCTTGGTTTCCCAAAGCACTAGGATTACTGGTGTGAGACTTCACCCAGTCTGACAGTGACTTTCAATTAACAGAATTCTCGGGTATCATTAATAGTCAGAGATGCACTGCATTTTAGCGGCTGTTCTCTAGACTTTATGTCAATGCTCATGCTTATGTGGTGTTGAATGTGCCTGTTTGTGAGATATTTGGGGTTTTTTTTAAATTTTGTTTTTATTTTTTTTGCAGTTTTTGGCTGGGGCTGGGTTTGAACCCACCACCTCCAGTATGGGGGCAGTGCCCTACTCTTTTGAGCCACAAGTGCTGCCCTGTTTTGTTTTTAGTAGGGTTGGGGTTTTGCTCTTGCTCAGGCTGGTCTCCTGAGCTCAAATAATCCACCTGCCTGGGGCCTCTTGGAGTGCTAGGATTACAGGCATGAGCCACCTTGCCCAACTGTTTGTGAGTTTCTAAACTTGTGAATCCTGGTTCTTACAAGAAACAAATTCCAATCAAACTGCCAGGTAAACTGACTGAAAGTATTCATTTTGCTTAGATGTGTTTATTTCAGATACATTTATACCCCTTTATTTGCTATAGGCAGTGAATACATTTAAATGGTGTTTTATTTATTATTATTATTGAGACAGAGTTTCATTATGTTGCCCTTGGTAGAGTGCCCTGGAAATGCTGGATAGCTCATAGCTCACAGCAACCTCAAACTCTTGGGCTTAAGCGATTCTCTTGCCCCAGCCTCCCAAGTACAGGCACTGGGACTACAGCTGCCCACCACAACGCCCAGCCATTTGTATTGTTGTTGCAGTTGTCATTGTTGTTTAGTTGGCCCACGTCAGGTTCGAACCCACCAACCTCAGTGTATGTGGCTGGCACCGCAACTACTGTGCTACAGGCGCAGAGCCTTAATTATTATTATTTTGTAAAAATGGAATCTTTTTTTTTTTTTTTGAGACAGAGCCTCAAGATGTCCCCCTCGGTAGAGTGCCGTGGCATTACAGCTCACAGCAACCTCCAACTCCTGGGCTCAAGCAAGTCTCCTGCCTCCGCCTCCCAAGTAGCTGGGACCACAGGCGCCCGCCACAACGCCCGGCTATTTTTTGGTTGCAGCTGTCATTGTTGTTTGGCGGGTCCGGGCTGGGGATTCGAACCCACCACCTTAGGTGTACGTGGCTGGCGCCTTAGCTGGTTGAGCTATAGGCGCCGAGCCAAAAATGGAATCTTGCTGTGTGGCTAGTCTTGAACTGGCCTCAAATAATCCTCCTGCTTCAGCCCTCCAAGTAGCTGGGATTATAGCATTTGAGGCCACATTTTATTTATTTAGTGAATAACTACTTAACCCAATGTTACTCTGGTTAACAATACTGCTGGAAGACTGGGCAGGCCTGGAAAAAACAGTTTGAGTTCTATTCAGCTCTTGGAGGACTGAATGTAGACATCTTACTTGTGTATGTGTTGAAGTATTCAGAGGATCTGTGGTTTATTGATAACTTTAGAGTTGTTACCATGAAGTACTTACTGATTTCCGCAGAGATAATTTTGTTCTGACTGCCATTGCTATAGTTCAGGTTGTTAGATCTCCATAGCCTCTTAATTAGGCTCTCTGCTTCATTCCTTGAAAATTGAATGCATTTTCTTATTTCTGACTTGGCTGATGTTTTCTAAGACAGTGACTAGCTTTTTTGTTATTTCACTCCTACAGGCGGTACAAAGCTATTAAATTCTGAATTGCTTTAGTGGGCATTTAAGGTCCTGTGTGGTCTGTTCTCATTTAGTCTTTCGAGGTACATCTTCACTACATTTCTGCAGGAGACACACATCTCTGAACCAAAAGTTCTTCTCCATTTTGGTAACTCTATCCCAAAAAAATAAACCCTGTTCAGCTTTCTAAGCATAACATACTGTGAAACCTTCCCAGTTCCCTTTAGAATAAATTTCTGTACCCTGTGTTCCTTTTTTATATTTTTGTTATTTTATTAAAGAAGATATATAAATGGGGGGATTTTTTTTAATTTAATTTTTTATTTTTTTGCAGTTTTTGGCCGGGGCTGGGTCTGAACCTGCCACCTGGCATATGGGACCGGCGCCCTACTCCTTTGAGCCACTGGCACCACCCCTTATTTTTTAGTTTTTTGAGGGAGAGTCTTGCTCTTTTACCCAGGCTGGAGTATAGTGGCACGGGCATAGTTCACTGCGACCTTGACCACCCAGGCTCACGTGATCCTCCAGCCTCAGCCTCTCACGTAACTGAGAATGCAGCCTTGTACCCCTACACTTAACTAATTTCTGTTATTCTTATTTTTTGTAGAGAAGGGCTCTCACTGTGCTGCCCAGGCTGGTCTCAAGTGACCCTCCTGTGTTGGCCTTCCAAAGTGCTGGAATTACAGCCATGGGCTACTGTCTGTGCCTGGCTTGCTTTCATTTTTAATTCCCACAAGCTACTTTTTCGTCTCTGAATGTTTTGTTCTTGTTTTATCAATGCAGTGTTTTCTGTCTTTCTAATTTTTTCTTTTCTTTTCTTTTCTTTTTGAGACAGTGTTTCAAGCTGTCACCCTCAGTAGAGTGCCATGGTGTCACAGCTCTCAGCAACCTTAAACTCTTGGGCTTAAGCAATTCTCTTGCCTCAGCCTCCCAAGTAGCTGGGACTACAGCTCCCTGCCATATTGCCCGGCTGTTTGTTGTTGTTGCAGCTTGTCATTGTTGTTTTCGCTGGCCCGGGCTAGGTTCAAACCCGCCAGCCTCAGTGTATGTGGCCAGTGCCTCTACCCACTGAGCTAGGGGGCGCCGCCATATTTCTCTGATTATTAATGTTATGTTTATTTTGAAATTTTTATCTCTTTATAATTTGATTTTCTATAGGCTATGTTCTAATTTGTTCTGATCTTTGTTTTCCATGTTAGAAAGGAACCATGTTTCTTTATTATCTGTTACTTATAGAGCCTTTAATGTCAGTATGTTGAGGTCTTTTTTGCTGGGCTACTCATGTTCCTCAAAAGAGACTAGAGGGTGAAGGGCTGGCTGTGTACTGGGAGCTGAGTAGAGGAAGAAAACTGGAAATCTTACTGTCCTGAATCCCTAAGCTCATTTTTAATACAGCACCTTTGCCCTCATCCATATTAATGAACCCTGGTGCAGAGACCCTCTGTTTTAACCTCTCCAGAAAGTAAACCTCAGACTGGAAGAATTTCTGTTGCTTTGTAACGAATTACTGCAAATTTACTGTACTGTTCCATGTGACAGTACAGACGTAGTATTTCTCAGTTGGGTCTGGAACCTGGACAGTTAGCTGACTCCTGTGCTCAGGCTCTTCTTAGGTTGCAGTCAAGGAGTTGGCTGGCATGTCTTCATTTGTAGCTCCTCCAAGGTCATATAGTTATTAGCAGAATTCAGTTCCTTGCGGCGTAGGACTGGGGCCACTCAGAGTTCTCTAGCCTTCTCCATAGGCAGTTTATATCATCAGCTTGTTTCTTTAAGGCTAGCAGGAGACTCTGTACAGTCAGTTAGGACTTGGTTTTATATAAATAAAGCATAACCTGGTCTAGAGAATGACATCACATCAACTTTACCATATACTGTTGGTAAAAAGTAAATTATAGCTTCCACCCACACTTTAGGGAGGAGATCATACAGCCCATCTTAGAATTCTGCCCATCACAGAGAATTTGCTGCTTTGTTTGAGAGATAGGGTCTAACTCTGTCACCCAGGCTGGAATGCAGTGGCATGTCACTGCAGTCTTGAACTCCTGGCCTTAAGCCATCCTTCCACCTCAGCTTCCCCAGTGTCTAGGCAAACACCACCATGCCCAGCTAACTTTTTTTTATTTCTTATGGAGATAGGGGCTATGTTGTCTAGATTGGTCTTAAACCCTTGGCCTCAAGCAATCTTCTCACTTCAATGTTGGGGATTACAGGTGTGAGCTATTGCATCCAGCTTTGACTGCTTCTTAAACACACTTTTAACTAATCCTTTCCCCCTTACCAAATGTACTCCTGCCTCACTCCCAGTTTCCACTGGGAACACAAATTTCTAAGTCTTTCAGGGGATTCAGTGGGATACATGGACTCAGTCTTGGATTTCTTCCCAGCCAGTTCAGGATTCCATTTTCTTGGTTATATCAGTCCCTTTAGCACCCATTATTTGCCTTCAATCTTCCAAACTTTCAGTGTTGTCTCTTCCCTCCCTCGTCTCACTTTGGAGTTTTATGCCTTAAGAACAAAACAAAACAACAAAAACCGTTTATTGTAACGTTGGTGGAGTTTGAAGAATGAATAAAAGAATGAATAAAAGTTGATCCTGTGTTTAATCTACCTTTATGCACGTTTTATGAGATCTTAACATTTTTTCTTTAGTTCAATACTTTAGCTAGGGTTACTGTTTCCTTTTAAGAAGGAAAAAAATGGGCCGTGGGCGGTAGCTCTCAGGCTCATAATCCTAGCAGCACTCTGGGAGGCTGAGGTGGGTAGATTACCTGAGCTCAAAGGTTCGAGACCAGCCTGAGCCAGAGTGAGACTTCATCTCTAAAACTAGCTGGGCATTATGAAGGGCTCCCTCAGTCCCAGCTACTTGGGAATCTGAGGCAAGAGAATCCTTTGACTCCAAGAATTTGAGGTTGCTCTGAACTATGATGCCACAGCACTCTACAAAGGGCAACAAAGTGAGACTGTTTCAAAGAAAAAAGAAGGAAAAAAGAAGAGTTTAAATTTTCCCCACTTCATTTTTCAGCTCCCACTACTCTTTATTTTCTACTCAAGCATATGGGCTTTTTAGCCCCATTTATCCTTCCAAACTCCTCATTTGAGGCTTGGAGAAACTGCCTCCTTTTCCTTTTAATCAGGACCTATCTCACCTTTTTTGGCTTTTTCATAAAACCTATCCCAAATAGATACATAGTAATTCAATCTCTGACAGTGTTTCATATAAAATTGGAAATTCTCAGAATATGACATTTTTGTTAGGACTCTTCTCAGGAGATAAAGCTTTGTACTTCTTGGTATTAAATATTAAATGACTATTAGAGAGTCATTATAGGAAGCATCTGACGTGGTAACACATGCACATACAGGTGTTGATTTACAGGCCGGACCAGTCACCACTGGTGAGAAGTCCTTGTGTATCTGCTTACCAGTCCTAGTCCTAGACATACTACACTTGGGCATCTTTGACATGTCACCTGTCATTGTTCCATCTATGGGCCTGCTCAGCAGCAGCTTGTGTAAAAGCTGTTGACTTCTGTTCAGCTAGAAGGGTGTGTGTAGAGAGCAGGACCAAGAGTCACTTAGGTGAGAGTGTTAGTGATGAGAACACAGCCAGACCCACCCCTCCAAGCCCAGCTTTGTATTTGACATGCAGGGCATAGCCTCACTCATTCAGTCTCTCGGCCCTATGCAAATATAAACAGCCTTCCCCTTTTCTCTCCAGCCAGCTGGGGCCAAGAAAAAAGCCAAGGACTCCCCAAGTGCAGTAAATAGCTCTCCTCACCTCTTGACCCTGCCATTTCCTGGTAGTTCTGAGTTGTGGATCCTGCAGTGGAGAGGGAGGGAACAAAGAAGTTGCAGAGGCCTCAGCTTCACAGAGCATTGAGCAGTGGGTGATATTGTATCCTCAGGCAGGGGTTTGACCTCACATTTCAGTGCAGGTCATTCCAGTGACTGCTGGACCTCCCAACGCCACGGTGAACTAGAATGAAAATAGAGTGGATCTAAATTCCTGGACCACGTCTGGGACCAACCTAACTTCTGAGCTGGGGAAAGTAGGTCTTATATTTTATACCTGCTTTTTTTTTTTTTAAAGCTCCAGTGGGGAAAAGAAAGAATTATTTCTTTTTTGTTATGTTTGCCATTTAGTAGAGGAGTAACATTTGGACTGTGCTGGAACTGATGTTTGTTTCCAAATCTGTCTTTAGTTTTCATTAATTTAAGGAGGAGATTCTCACAATACTATTATTTCTTTTTTTTGGAAAGGAAAACATAAAACTATCTTTATTTGCAGATGGTATATTATATGTGGTGTTCCGTATAGAAAATTCTTAGGCCTCTACAAATATACTAAAATAAGTGAGTTTATAAATGCATAAGATAACAAGTCAGTACACACCATTGTTTTTCTACGCATTAGCAACAGTTAGAACTTTAAAAGTTTAAACATCAATTTTAACAGCATGAAAAATAACAAAATATTTAGGGATATATTTTATAAAATATGTGCAAGAGTTGTACATTGGAAGCTAAGAAACACTGCCAAAATAAAGAACCTATAAGAAATGGAAAACTAGGCTCGGCGCCTATAGCTCAACCGGC